AGATAATTCAGCTACTGCCACCTTGAACAGCCTGGCTGAATAACCTGTCAGTTGTAAATGATCCCAGCTAAGGTGAAAAAGGTCCAAACTCAACTGCAATATTAAGCTACTATTCCCATTACCAAATCAAAATGGGATGATTTAAAATTTACAGAAGCATTATCCTAGCAGAATTGGCCCATGTCCACATTAATTGGATTGGTTTTTAAGTACCATGAATCTTGAGGAAGATTTCAAAACTTATCCAGGGGTGTACTATGATCTATGAATTATCTGAACATCATGCATGTTTTTCCAACTCCATTATCTTGGCCTATGTAACTTATTCCTGCTATATTGTCTCCTATATGTTCTTGCTAACATTGTTAATACACTGTGTATGTTATATTTAAAAAATTCAGTACAACTTTCATTGCTGGGGCCTCCATAGCACATGGGAAGATAATTGCCATAATCTAGTTCAGAGGACTGAGTCCATTTTGTGTTCATGGGTTCACTCTGTGAAGTGAACCTGTGAGGAAGCTGGATCTGACCAAGGCACAATTTATGAAATAATCTCAAACAGTTACATAGAGAGCCAATTTCACCACAAGGCATCTATGGTTGAGTTCAGACAGACAATTTGAAGTGGGAGGGAGTCGTGGCAAAAAAGACCCAGAATAAACTGTTCCGGGTTTTCCTGTTCACACTGCAGCGACTGATGCGGGAGCATACTGGGAGGAGGCGCAAGGGAGCGTTCACACTGTTGGCACGGAGGCACGGCTGCAAGGCACGGCTTTTTGATTTTGTAATCTGGAGATATGCGCTTATGCGCTTTTGGCATTCACACTTTGTTGGTGCGGGATGGACGCGGGATAATCGCGCTTTCCAGGGTTTGCTACCACTTTCACCAGGTATCTTTTAAACTCAGGAGCAAAGCGTTACAAGACGGGTTGAGTACGGGTGGGGAATGCCAGACAGATGTGCCTGTGTGAACAGCCCATTTAATCCGGTTGTGAAATGTTCCTCACACGCATCTATATCGGGGCAAACTGCCTGTCTGAACTCAGCCTATGTCCATGTAGTTTAAAAAGTTTGCTTCAGAGTAAGTAAAACAAGTCCCTAAGGGCTCCTTGTCATCTTCCAGATACCATACGGCTGGAATTTTCTGCTCTAACAGGCATCTTCATACACAGAGTTGTCTATATTGCTCTGGTTGACCTGTGGAAGAAGGACAGATGATCCTACTCTTGGGCAAGGGACTGAATTAGAGGGTACCCTGATTTATGATTCTCATTATTCAAGCTATACTGGCCTCTTGGCCTTCAAGACCATCATCACCACCAGTGACGGACTGAAGCTCCTGGCTGAATGAGCAAACACACTTATAAACAATGTTGGAGAAAGGATTTGGAGTGATTTGTACACATGTTCTCAGGGAAGTTTGTGTCATACCTTGGGCCAATTCTCATATTATACTCTTAATGTATGTCCCCCTATATCTAAGCCCCCTTTACATGCTGAGTAGACTGTGAAAGAGAAGCATGTTATGTCTGGAACATCTGCTTTTATAATTATTAATAATAATCCTATTTGCATTCTGTACTTCCTCATCCAGGGATTCCTTGAGAATATCAGGGCTCAGTGAAAATTTGAATCCAGCTCTCCCTAACCCACAAACAGCACTCTCAAGATGTACCTACCAACCTACTCCATGCTTCCAGAGTGGTGAAGTATGCTACCACACATTCAATGTGTACCTACAAGATCAGCAGCCTCTTTTAACTGTGGCTGCCCGGGGCAGACCATGAGCAGTGTAGCCTCAACAACATATTATGTGCAGAGACATGTAATGGTAGCACAACAATTTTGGTGGGAGTAAGGTAAAGGTAAAAAGGTTCCCTTGCTCGAAAGCCAGCGCTGTCCGAAGACTTTTCCGTGGTCATGTGGCCGGCGTGACTAAACACCAAGGTGCACGGAACGCTGTTACCTTCCCACTGAAGTGGTACCTATTTATCTACTTGCAATTTCTTGCTTTCGAACTGCTAGGTTGGCAGGAGCTGGAACTAGAGACGGGAGCTCACTCCGTCATGTGGCAACTCAGGTCTCGAACTGCTGAACTACCGACCTACCACAGCCTGCAGTTCAGCGTCTTAACCACTTGAGCCATCGCAGCTCCTTGGTGGGAGTAGGGGGCACTTAAATCTTGCCTCACTCAAAATCATCCTCCGTGATGCAGCTATTCCCCATGTAGGATTTCAGAACAAGTATTTCAAAAGGCAAGCATGGTTCTGAAACCACAGAGGGGGAAGCCATGGGGAGAGAGACCAGGAAAATGTTAGGTATAGAAAGGGTTAAGTGCTTCTACAGCATTTTCTTCTGGGGATGAGCTCTTGCATTTTCATTCCATTTGGGGGCTCGATCACTCTCCACTTTTGGGAATTCAGTCCAAATATCAACTGTCAAATTTCATCCATTTCAAGACAGCAGAACCACAGGGGCAGAGAGGGAACACTCCATCTCTCCCCCCCCCCTACAATTTCCCCCATGTCTATATAGGTAGTGGATGCTGGGGACAATATTTTTGATCCCAACACTCAGAGCTGATTCTGCAAGTGCCAGGGTTGTTACTTGAAGGATGTAAAACTGGATCCAGGCACTTAGAAATGGTTCTATAAATCAGGCCAATGTTTTGACTCTCATAGTACAATCCTATGCACAGTTAGTCTAGTCTGAGCCCACTGAAATTAACTCTGCACAGGACTGCACTCTGAGAGCCAAACTACATGTTTGTTTGTTTTTTAAAGAGCTGGATCCAGGTTCCCCGGACCCAACTCAGGTTTTCTGCCGCTACACAGCCACCGCAGGGAATGGCTTTTTTTAAAAATAAAGGAGACCTCAGAATGTTGCCATGGGGGGGGAGGAAGGGCTCCTGAAACAGACTTCCTCAAGTCTTACATATAGGTGGGGGGTTAGTTGTTAGGAAGGTCTAGTTAGAGTCAAGATGCATAAATAATTGAATAATAAGTATAGCTAAGACTGGATTTAAGCAGTTGGTAAGACCTATGAATAGGGGCAAATTAGCATACAGATAATAAAAGAGTTAACAAACAGATGTGAGAACTAAGTTTGAGACCAGTGGCACCTTCAAGACCAACAAAGTTTAATTCTGGGTATAAGCGAGAACTGAGTGTGTAGCCTGTGTAGATGCATACTCCAGATACATTAAAACAGACTCAAACATTACATATAGGTGTGGGAGGGGGTTAGTTGCCATGAAGGGAACCAGTGCACTCAATGGAGGACCTCAAAGTAGCTGTTTTATTGCAAAGAAATTTCAGAAACAGACTGGAATGGGAGATTGCTGAGTAACAAGTTATTACAACACTCAGGACAATGGAACCCCCAGGACTTAACAGAAATATCAAGTTCTTCTGTCACTACTCATGCTATGTCACTCAGACCTCGCTTACAAACTTTGTGGGACTTAAAGGTGCCACTGGACTCAAACTTAGTTCCCACAACTGTGGTTAACTCTTTTATTATCTTTATGCTGATTTGTCGCTATCCACAGGTCTTACCAACTGGGTTAATTTTAGCTACACTTATTGCTCAGTTACTTATGCATCTTGAGTCTAATTGGCCCTTCCTGGCAAACCCCACCACCACCTATATGTAATGGTTGGTGCAGTCTGTTTCAATGTATCTGAAGAAGTGTGCATGCACACGGAAGCTTATACCCAGAATTAAACTTTGTTGGTCTTAAAGGTGCCACTGGACTCAAACTTGGTTCTATTGCTTCAGACCAGCACAGCTACACACCTGAATCTATCTTTATAGTTAGTTTAATTAAACCAAGGTTTCATTCAATGTCTGAACTGAGCCTTTATATATAACATGTAAGCTGAACATCATTAAGAGGATAATGTGGTAATTGACCCTTTGAGAACAATGGCTGTGGTCATAATTTGAGGGAAGGTATGCTTTTTTAATTTGGATTTTATATTATCTGTTTCCCAGGGCCTGTGATATCATTAATTTATATGGGTGTTGAAATAGGACATCATAACCCATGGGAACGTACGTATTTAAAAGGGAAAAAAAGAAAAGAGGAAATAAAAACTGTTAAACTTGACAGGAATTGTGGCAAACTAATTGGAAACTGATTGAGAGGCAAGAGGAAATTGTGAGAGAGGAAGACACAAACAGAGAAAGGTCATAGTTTCTCGAGAGCTGTTTGAGTTGACTCTCACACCTTTCTTTCTTCTTCGTAGCCATATTGGTTCCTCAAGCACAAGGAAGAAACTGCACTCTTTCTCATATTCCTCACGGTCAAGTAATCTAAGGGTAATGTATTTCCTGTGGGAACACAAGACAAAGGCAAAACAAATGGTTGGCATTACAGGCACACACGCACATGCTTTAAGTATGACCAGTTGAGGAGGCTGTTGTCTGTGATGATAATGGGGGGAACACACATCCACGGCTTTTATATATGTGAAAGAGCAGAAAATGTCCATTCCTGAAATTTCCTTGGTTGCCTCAGTTTGGTTAAGGCCCCCTCACAAATTCAGCTTTGAAATCAGATAGATCCATATGACAGGATGGGGGGGGGGGGAAGAATAGCACTGTTAGGGCTTTTTTGGGAGATGAACTGGTTACTTCAGTGACCTTTTCCCCTCCCCAGACATATTTCTCTTTTACTGTATTTCAAGAATTTAAGGTAGATGAGAAAAAGTGATTTACCAATGGCACCCAATATGCCTTATTGGTAAACAGAGATTTGAACCTTGGTCTCCCACATGGTATTCTAATGGTATCCCACTGCAACTGACTGGCTGTGGGTCAAAAGAGATGGACAATGACTCAATTAATGGTCAGTGATTTAGTGCTCTGCCCTTTTACATAGATAACGGGATGTGTTTTTTAGGATTCCGTGAGCTGGAATGTGCCAGGCATCCATGAGTGATCAAGACAGGTGCACATAAGTAGGGCTCAGCCCCACACAGCCAATCCCCCACCTTTCTTCTCACTCATCTCCACCAGACGGGGCTCCCCAATTTCAATGTAGAAGGTCTTGTTTTTCTCATACTCCTCATCATCAATTACTTTGATTGATATCATTTTGCTGAAACAGAGAAGAAGAAGAATAGAAATTCAAGAGCAAAGTAAGCGGGGGAAAAGAGAGGAAAGTAAAGGAAATAAAAAGAGAAAATGCATAGAAGACAGAAATATCCAAAGGGTCATTAAATGTTCATTTCCCCAGACAGCTGAAGTGTGAGGTACTGTGTTTTTATCATACAACTCACAGCTGTTTCAGCTACAAGTATATCTGCCCTGGAGGATTTCTGGAAGCCCTTGCAGACATATAACTTGGCTAGCATGTTGTAATAGCTACAAAAACGCATATGGCTTTATACTAGTTTAAATGTTATAAATTCTCCCCACAACGATCCTGTGGAATTCTAGCTTGGTGAGAGTGCTGGGGAACCTCCATCAAAGATCCAAACCACCCTCAAAATATTTACAGGGTTCCATGGGGACTGAGGAATGGGTATGTAACCAATTCGCAATAGTCTGTTTTTCAGGTATTTCTCCATATGCCTCCTACTTTGTATTCTCTCCTCAGTGCATGTTTGGGGCAGGATCTTCAAATGTGGACACAGCATCAACAGCAATGTTACCTCACAACTGTAGTGCACAATGTTACACCTGGTTTCCTCACTTATTTACTGAGCTGTGCAAATCAGCACAAGTGCAGATGTGCCCCCCTAAGTTATTCACACAAAGAAGTGTGAGGCAGACTAAGACCTCACAAGCCATGCAGGCACTAGATATGTTCGCCTGCCGAAGACTGGATTGGTCTGTAACTCTATGTAGATTGTGGGTCTTTGCACATGGAGTTTTTCTTGTGGTTTGGTTGCCAACCTGCAACCTTCCTTTCCCAAAGTGTCAAACTACACAATACCATTTCTTATGAGTTGAATGTGGGCTCCCCAGACCAAACTCGCTTTCACACAGCAACAGGCAACATGGCTCTTAAAGCCTGCAGGCTCTTCTTGATGCCCCTGTGTTCCACTTGTCTTTTGTTGTTATGTCTCCTTGCTTTTCTGAAACCACCTTTGATCCAATTTGAGGAAATACGGAAAACAGTGAAGAAACCACAGAAGAAAAAATGCTGCAGGTTGGCACCCAAACCATGGAAATGTCTGTGTAAAATGACCCTGTATTATGAAAAATAAGGTCTACAAAAGACCACTGGACTCCTTTTTCATTTTGTAATGTTGGGGAAAGTAGCTAGTAACCCAGAGCAACAAAGTCTGGAACCCACAGATGGTTGCCCAACGTTTTCTCATCCAAAATAAAGAAACAAGAGAGAGAGAAAATAAAGCAGAGAAAGTAGCAAATAAGTAACAGTATCATTAGTGAGAAAGGGCAGGAAATTCAGAAACTTTTTGGGTAGATTGTAGTGGGGAAATAGAAATAATCAGAAAGCCATGCTGTGTAATTCACTATGCATACAGAGAGGCTGTTTATATGTGCAAATGCAGACATTCAGTTACCCTAAAATCAACCCTTTCATCAATCTCACTCACTCACTCACACACTCACTCACTCACACAGACTCTCCAGTGCTCACCATACCACTACATGGCATTCCCACATTCCAGTTGACCAGCTGACTCTGCCCATCTCCTGTCTTTTGCACTGTTGTGTCCCACAGGTCTTGCCCATTACTTAGTCCCTCAGAATTGAATGGCAGTGTATCCCAGCATTCTACTTTTCAGTCTTGAGAGTACTTTGCCTGCCATTTCCATGTGGTAGGAACTGGAGCTAAAGTGTGTGCACGGAGGGGGGTGGAACCTCAAAGTCCAACAGTGGAAATGAAGTCGCTTTCATCTGCACACGAATGCTGACAATGAAAATCTCCAATAACTTCAGGAATCAAATTGAAAAGGCCACTGCAGACGGATGGGGAATGCAAATGAAGCTGTTCTTGCCCACAGCTTTACACATCTTTATACATGTATAAAGATTTTGGCATAATGATCTTTAAAAGGACTAGACTTGTATTTAGGCAGCTTGAGATCTCTTCTGGAAATGTCAAGCATTTACCTGTTAAACATTCCTGTAACCTACTTACATCAGTTCTTTCTCTCTCTCCCCCCCTTCCAATTCCTGTATGTTACGGTGAGGAAAAGCATGTCTTTTATATGCAGAAAGCCTTGGGTGTAATGAACCTTATACAGGGAATGGCCAGATGAGGATGAAGCAGACCTTCCAAGAGGTTCTTGTTGTGAGGGAAATTGGGGAGAATGCAGGGGGGTGACAGGTGAGTGTGAGTGAAAAGTGAGAGTGAAAAAAGGGAGAAGATGGTGATGGCGAAGAAATCTGTCAGGCAAGAAGTAACCCCTTGAAGGAGCTGTGAAGATCCTGAACATATATCAAGCACAGCACTGTATTAGACACTAACTATACAGCCAAGAACCTTGGGAGCTGACTGACGGTGCAAACCAAGGAACAAAACTGAGTTAGAGACTGAGAGAGAAGAAAGCCCTTTGGACAAGGCCAACCAATAGCAATTCAGAAAACAAAAAGCACTTTGAAGTGCCAGAAGAACCAACTTGAAGTGAACGTACGTGTGTGTGTATGTTGAGGGGGAATTGTTGAGATTCTGACAGAAAACTGTATATAGTAACATGATTATTAAATTGTTACGAATATTGAAAAGATTTAGCCAGCATTTGTTCAGCATCCCTACATAAATAAAATTGACTTGTGTATTTAAAAGGCAAGACTCCAAGACTCAAGAATCATAACACGTGGGAATCCCATAATGGGATTAATATTCAGTGTTTCATGGCTACAGTCGATAAGATGCTGAGAGATGCACAAATGAATCTCCTGAGATTTTTTAACACAGCAACAAAAACTGGTAAGGAGAACACAGCAGCCTGAATAGCCCAGACTACCCTAAGCTTGCCAGAACATGGAGCGAAGCAGGGTTGGCCATGGTTAGTACTTGGATGAGAAGCCACCAAGGAAGACCAGGGTTGCTGCACAGAGGAAGGCAACAGCAAACCACTTCTGCTCATCTCTTGCCTTGAAAACCCCACAAGGGGTTAAGACTTGACAGCACTTAATCATTATCAAGTAGAACACACACACACACACATCCTGCTTTGGATTGGGGCCACAGCACAGGGGAGGGGGATCTAACACACAGGCTTGCTATGGCTCATCCATTTCAAAAGAATATGTTTTCTTCTAATTCCATACATGTAGATCCAGGTGGTCAGCCTTGTTGGTCTGAAGCAGTCGAACAAATTTAGAGTCCAGTGGCACCTTTAAGACCAACAAAGTTTTATTCAAGGGATGAGCTTTCGTGTGCATGCACACTTTGTCAAATACACTGGAACGGTAGGCAGTCTTTGCACATCTTCATCATGTTACATGTTAATCTGTTGTTCAGCCCCTGTCTATAAGTTTGAACCTTACCTACCATTCCAATGTATTTGAAAAAGTGTGCCTTGCACCCGAAAGCTTATACCTTGAATAAAACTTTCCGTACATGTAAGAAACGAAAAGCTTTGGCCACTTGGGGATTCTGGAAGTGACAGAAACCAGTGTCCACATTTGCTAAAGCTACCATGCTATGAAAGGTATCTGGGGGTGAAATCAATAAAAATGCTCTGCTCAGCCCCTTGAAATTAGTCTAGGATGCTTTAAAACTTAACATCCATGAAAATAAATGAAGCAGCATATAAGAACTTCAAAACAGACAGATGGCTGTGTCATATCTATCCAAGAAATAACTGATTTGGACAATTCAGGGCTGTCTGTAAAGATACTTCTCAATAATCTTCCAAAGGATGTTGTATCCATGGCTTTTCATAGTCTGACAATGCCAATGGGATTGCTTTTTCTAACTCTTGAGACAGGAAGAAAGGCTGAGTGAAACACTACTGAATACCACTTGTTTTCCCCTCAACTGGTAATTTTTTTCCAACCCGGAAAGATTTCAGTTGCATATTTTCTTCTCTGAAGGCTTAGCAGAGATGCCTTAGTGACCTCTTCTTCTGCTTTCTTTTCTGGAACAACCACTCAGGGCAGTCCATCTGTTACAGAAGAATATATAATTGTAATAAGCAAATGGAGATGACCCCCCCCATCGACCAAAGATGCATGGTATTAGGCATTTGCCTATGACTTTGTTACTGAAGGAGTAGAATACTAAAAATTCTCTCACTGCATATGTAGAGGTCATTTATCTTAGTTTCCTTTTAAATTAAGACTCAAGTTGGTATATTTCACCAAATGAACACTGAGACATTGCAAATTATCTGCAGGTTTGTATGCACAGTAAATGGGGATGAGTGGGTATAAACGTGTTAAACAAACAAACAGGGTGCATCCAGTCCTTAAACTGTGCTTATTGTGGGAGCTGATGTCACAGTGTATTGCATGAATCAACACTGTATTGCATGAATTTTCAACCATTGTTTCTGAAAAGTACTCTACTTGGAGTTTATTTACGTGAAAACTAGTACTTCATTAAAGAGGTTCCTATCTTCTGATTACTCTAGATGTTGGGTGCTCAGATCCAAGATGGGGAAATACCTTGAAGGCAGTCAAAAGGTGAATGCCCATAGTCTGGTAGTACAGATGGATATTGTGGGTCCCAAAGAAACAAGTTGCCCAAATGTAGAACTGTCAATAGTGGTTCAAGTGTCAGACAAGGACTGGTGAGACTTGAATTCAAAGTCACACTCAACATGGGATGCTGACTGTAAGCCAAACAAGCTTGCTATCTCACGGCACTGTTGTGATGATAAAATGGGGAGTGGAGAACCATATATGCTGCCCTAAGCCCACTGGACAATGACAACAGACTGGAGAGTCATTATAGCAGCTTTTGGCTTTAGATTGGCCTACTAGGGGCACTTGGCTTTCCAGTCCAGGAGAATTATGACCTCTATAGTGGGAATTATCTGTTATTCCCTGTTTCAACCCCAGTAGCATAGGAAGCCCTGATCTGCAGGGCTTCTGGTTTGAACCTTTTTTCTTTTTTTGCCATAGAAAGTGCAGCAGTATCCCTCCTTCTGAGTTACTGTCCTAAGTACATAA